TTCGATATGTCCCTTCCTCGCGGTCTGCAGGTGACGCCCCCGTTGAAGTCGAGTTCATTGCCGATTATTGGCAGCCCCATTTTGAGTCGTTCACCTCTCGTATCAGAGAATCACATCCAGAATCAATCATGTTCGCGCAGCCCCCCGTATTCGCACCACCACCACCCATCGACGAGAGCGTGCTCAAAGGCCGTGCCGCATACTCTCCCCATTATTACGACGGCCTGACCCTTATAACACGGCACTGGAATTGGTTTAATGCTGATGCTCTGGGAGTATTGAGGGGAAAATATTCCTCTCCACTGCAGGCCGTGAAGGTCGGAGAAACCGCTATACGGAAATCGTTGCAGGAACAACTCTCAATGTACAAGGTTGATGCACATATCCTGGGACCATACCCAACGATTCTTGGCGAGATAGGTACACCTTTCGACATGGACAACAAGCGGAGTTACGGTTGGACGGATCATGGGAAGCACAAGGGGGACTACAGTCGGCAAGAACGGGCCCTAGATGCTAGTCTTAATGGCGCTGATGGGCCCAATGCAATCAACTGGACGGTATGGACATATTGCCCTGATAGCTGTCATGATTGGGGCGACGGGTGGAATATGGAAGATCTGAGTTTGTGGAGTTCAGATGATCTGGGAGTGCGGAGGGGGAAAGAGGAAGACGAATACTGCGAGTATCCCTATAAGGGTACGGAGTCGCAAGCTGGTTTATTGAAACGGAAGATGTCGGGTGAAGGCGTCGACGTTCGAGCAGCGTGGGCTGCATCGACATTTTCCTTAGCCACGCTAGGGATGGGGGACGGCACGAGCTTCGACGAATTAAGGGCGCAACAACGACACGAACTCTACATGATGCGATGGCGGGACAATCCCTACAAATTCCTGACGGATGGGGCCAGGGCAGATCGAGCGTTCAACCGACCTTGGCCCCATAAAGTCATTGGCCGACCCAAGGACATCGCGTTCGACCTGCGGAAGGCGCATTTCAAGCTCGTCGTCACCGTACGTGCTGAGGACAAGCTCAAGGCTAGTGGTGTGAACGAGGAGTCACCGGCTACGGAGATTTTCGTTCCCCTGGTGCATTACGCACACTCTCGACTGCTTAATGACGACAGCTCGGTGGACACGAGCTCTTCTATATCTCGTGTTCCGTCTGCATCTAATTTGACTGATTCACGATCGAGTCACACGTTGACTGCTGGGGACGATTTACTGCATACCCTGTCGGAGAAGAACCTTGTAAATGTCGATGTGACGGTGAGCGCGGGCCGGTGGTCTGTTGACGGACAGGTGCTCCGTTGGTGGTACGACACACCGCAAGAGGGTGAAGAAGATCAAGAGTATATCATCGAGATTCGAAGGACGGGAGGTCCGATATCGACGCGCGATGTGACAGGCGAGGAGTATTCGTGGTCTTGGCTGGATAACATATGTCCTTTCCAAGAAGGATGCTGTATAATGTAATGTTTTCTCTCTGCTTTCAGATTCTACTGCATCGTTGTCTAATTTCATGGGACATTGTACTTGATACCATATTGGCTACCCTACTTGTAGAGTTACTCTACCCGTTGTATTGTTATTCCAATTCATTCATTTTTCTTTTCTGCATCCTAGATTTTAATATACCATGCTACCAGAGACAGTGTCAAAAATATCCGGGTGAACCAGAAGCATATCGAGTGCTTGATCAGGTTCTGAAAACTATAAGTAGTACAAAGCGAACGAAGGCCAAATGCACACGCACCTCGCCGTTCGCGTGTCTTATGCTCTTCCGAGTTTAGCCTAGCATCCACTTGTATCATAACTTGACGAATATCAAGTACTCGGACGCGCGGCAATTATGTATGAAAATCAGTAGTGATCCGCTCGGCAGTCTGGCGTTAGAGTAGACACAAGATTCACAGTCTGGTGCCCTTGACTGTTGAGTCAAAGTTGCCGTCGAACTTCTCAAAGATGCGTTAGTGTGATACACGGGCCTCTGAGTTCATGAAGCGTAAGATAATTATATTTCGATAAGATATGTGGATGTTATACAGAGGGGGGCTTATCATTTGAGGATTTCGAGTCTTTGGTCCGGGTATCTACGTCTATTCGGGTATCGTCGGGGGGGAGAGGGGAATGAGAGACTGACGAGGCGGTCGGCGCGAGAGATATGCGCGGAAACTGAAGAGGCGTATCCTCAAATTCTGCCCATCCGCCTCGAAGCCCAATCTCGACTACACGCTCCAATATTCGCGTAAGCTCGTCATTCCTGTATTGGCTATAAACTATGGAAATGAGCCCAGGAATGACACGAACGCACCTCAGCTGTTGCTCCAGATCCCTCTGCTCCAGCTGATCTGTGAGCACATTCATCCGTGTTTTCAGCTCCGTCACCTGTGTCCCCAGCTCGTCTAACTTGTCGTTCACGTCGTCTCTACGTTTAGATTGACTTCGAGATGACCGCCATGTTTCTCCTATAATTAAGAGCGCTGCTACACTGAATAGGAATCCTTCTGCTAACGCATTGGCCCCATTATCTATTGCTCTGTGCATGGAATCAGACATGCAAGAGTTTGGAAGCAAAAAAGCAGGACGCACTTTTGTTCCGAAAGTGGGCGTATATGTTTCGCGGGCTCCCCCAGCAGCCCTGTTCTCAGCTTCACTTCGGCACGGTACATTCGCTGGGCTAACGAGACACAAAATGTTCGAAACCGGTCATGCCTGTGAGCAAAAAGTAAGCATATTGAATAAGACAAGATGAATATCAAGAGGACCTTTTAGCTTGCTCCTTGAGAGTGGAACTTATTGGCTTCGCGATAGTCTCTCCGCACAAGAAATAAGTTTAATATTCAACAAGGGAACGTCCATTACTTACTCGGATTAGCAGTGTCGCAACTTTTGCACTGGCCATGTTAACGAACTAGTTGTTGAAGAAGGGGACAGCGGCGTTTTAATTTGGTGCTTAATGTCGTTCCTCGGGAGGCAACGTGCCGGAAGAAAGCGTCATCTGCCTTTTTTGGCATTGTGCAGCTGCGTCCCGACATCCCCCGATATGAAAGAAAGGTGTCGCGTAAGCTTGATCGCAACGTATGAAGTACCGGTACTGCAATCAACCACCTCGGATCTATCTCTGCTACTGATATGCCGCACTATGTTTTACCGAGTGTAACCTCGGTCTTCAGGTACGACCTCAGTTGCAGTAACTGGGACCTTCCGTATGCAATCTACTACTACTTTTCGTATTCTCATTTCTCATTTCCCCAAACCTGGAAAGGGTGTGCAGTTAACTTTTTTTTTCTACTAGGAACAAGATACAAGTAATATAGAGGTCATCATGATGAAACATGCGTCGTTAAGCATCGCTGAATAAATGTATCAGAAATTCATGTTGGGTTCTTTCGTACATCTAAGGCCCGTAGAAAGTGACGCTGGGTCTAGGTTTGATTTCGAGCTTGTGGATGAGCATCCCGAAGAAGAGGAAGACGAACAAGCCCCCTAGGAGTCCAACATAAGCGCTCGATCCAATGTCGATTAATGTTACTCACAGTTCGCCCATGCGATACCCTGGATAGCCACGATCCTTGAACACTGACTGGCGAACCGCGCCCAGTTTGGCGAGAACGAATCCGCGGGGTTGCCACAGTTGTATGATCGGAAGGGGCTGACTTGGAACATTACACCTGCACCAGTTCCCCAGAATACAGCGCCAACAAAGGTGAAAAAGGTGATTACTATCATGGACGTCAAAAATGCGCTAGAAATATGCCGGATAAACGTACATCCAAGACCAGGGGCATATAGATGACCAATCAGGTATAGATAGGTGAATACACAGCTAAAGAGCAGCAAGCCAAGGTCATGCTTGTATTCCATGCCGGGGTAGTTGGCGTAGTCGTTGCCACCATTGTGAAGCTGCTGCGAAACGAGACCGAGTTGCGATGTAGCTAATGGGATAGAAGGCGTTGAGCATCAAAGAATGGTGAATCGAAAGGATATGCTAACGCACTCAAGGCAAAGACTAGGAAAAACGCGATAGCATAGAGCATGCGTCTCGGCGAAGTAACGAAGGCCCTGAAAGGGGACTGAACATATTCTTTCTTTTCTGTGCAGTGCGTCAACACAAGCTATAGTAGAAGAGTAATGCACAACGAACCAGGCATGACGACGGCTCAGCTTCACAGAACGGGAGGTTGGGAGATAGCTGCTGGTAGCTGCCAGGTGGCTAGAACAACGACAAGACTAGAAAGTCAACCCAGGGTTCACATTTATATACGCCCAACTCATGACCCGAGTCACCACCGACCGTACCCGGTGGTTTCTATTTTTTGTTACTCGTGAAACCGATTTGTCAAATTTTGTAATGATGCATTCAACCAATGACCATTTAGCCTTGAAACAAGATGCCGGCGGATAAAGAGTTTTACGAGAAACCCGGAGTAGAGATAGTAGACATCGGCTGAATAGGCGCGACCCGCGTCCCGATAATCGAAGTCAGACCCCAAGTAGCTCTTGAGCAAATAGGAATATCGTTGACGCTATAGCCTAGAAGACTGTTCACGAGCAATGTCCGTCGGTACGAAGTTTAGCATGCCGATGTTGGTCGTCGAAAGCGATGGAAACGGATGGAATCGATGATTCGGCTAGACGTGGTAAGTACAAAGGCAAAATTACACACCTCGGAAATACGCGGCGAGACGGATTAAGATAAGCCAATCGGCGGCTCTCACGATGTTAGAAGAACGAAAAGTATCCAGTTGCAAGGCACGCGATCCACCAGGAGAAGGGTAATAGAACAGCTCAGTTTAGGACATCTTCATTGCAGAATTTCCATCACCGCTGTTGCAGAGCCCCCCTGCCAGCAAACTTACCATACGATCACAGAGAGGAGACGAATTAGTAATCTAAAACATCCCTTATCCCTTCAGTCACTGGGTAACGAGAGAATCGGCTTCTCGTAATAGTAGAGAATAGAGGTATCTATTTGTATTGTTAGGCACCGATACATATGGCAAGATGGCCGAGCGGTTAAGGCGTGTGACTCAAGTTAGCGGGATTGCTCAATCCTAGACTGGCTTCCCTGGAATTGGGGTTTCTCATCACGGTATCGTGGCGTGGGTTCAAGTCCCACTCTTGTCACTTTTGCAATTTTATTCGTTAAGATTTGAATCATCTCGGCTGTCCAGTGTCGACTCTCGAGACTCGACTTTTAAGTAGGGGTTGCGCAGGAAACCTCCAGGGGGGAGGGAGGGTACGACACCGTTTTGTACCGACCTTCCCTGAGGGCCCTAGTATTGATATGGCTACTTACTGTTACTGAACGGTTACAAACCTTGGGTTTCGTGTGCAACCCTACTTTTAAAATTTAACTTTATACGACAATAGATCGTGTTACAGGTAACAGATCATAATTTATTTATCGTGCCAATTCCAGTCTGATACTGGAAAATCCTTCTTGTGCCTGTTAGCATCTTTTCTTGGACCTTCCACCGCAATATGTCAAAGCTAAAACGTTATTGCCTCCTTCGATGTACTTCTTGCCTATTCTTTCGCACGTATTCCTCGTGATGTTGACCATCAGGTTTTCACGTGTATGAAACGTTACGGAACTGTTATTGAACGCTGTTCCCACACCTAAAGCACTTGCCATCGACGACCTATTGTGACCGCCGCTATACTAGTCCATGTCCCGACCTCGCCCCGACAAACACAGATATCGACAAGCGTGGAACGAAAGCTGGGAAAATGAGCTTTTGGATAGATATCCTCCAGGACAAAATCCTCCAGCGATGACCAGTGTCATGTCCCCCCAGAGTATTCGTTTTCTTAGAGACACTGAATCCTTACGATCCTCGCAGTTAGAGAAGGACATCCGCACGAAGGAAATGTGCCTCCTTCAGCGAGACTTAGCTCAAGCTACCGTGGCAGGATTGAGTAACGACAACTTGGAGGAAAGGTGGAGGTCGTTGTCGCAGCAGCGACGGGAGGAATTGGTCCTGGAAGGGCTATATGTGACTGCCTGTGTTCCAAATGGCATGGAGGGCTGGCGGTTATGGTGCCCCGAAATGACCGTCGCTACACTTTCTGGAACAAACGACAGAGGCTTCATTCACCTTTTGAAAATGCTTCTTCCCGACGATCAAGTCAAAGAAACACTTAGTACTCCGCTGCTCTTGGAGAATCCAGCATTCGAGGAACTGGTCAAGACCAACGATATCGTGTTCACAGAGATATTCGACGGATACCGGCTGAAAAGAAGCTATTTCATCACCATGGCTGTATGGAACATCCTAAACGCATTTGTGAGCTCTTCCACTTGGGCATGAACGAGGACTGAACAGTAGCGCCAGTACGGTAACAGAGAGGATATTCAAGTAGCAAAGCCGCTATACCGCGACAGTAGCAGACCTATCAAGGACGGCTTACGTCTAGCCAAGAAATTCTTCAAGGACGAAGGAAGGCTTCCTCAGTTTGTGAAAGACATGCGGGATTATGATCGGCAGGCTGAAAATCACCAAAATCTATGCTTTCATTGCAGCCGCAGAGAAGATATATCTGAGAGAGGAGAACGGTTTCAAATCTGCAGCAAATGCAAAACCGTGGATCGAGTGGTGAGATACTGTTCAGTGTCCGTTTCAGTGCATTTGTTGCCAACTCGCAGTGCTAACTTATTCATCTTATGATAGGGAATGCCAGAGGAAGGATTGGAAACACGGATTCCCTAGACCTCACAAAGCGATCTGCGGCAAAGTCGCTTTTGATGAAGAGAAGCCCTATAAGGGTATCTTGGAGACAACGGATACAGAACTTGAGAGTGGCATTCCGCCCCCAGACCCGTCTTTCAAACGATCCCCAGAGTTGCTGCACCAAATTTCTTTCATCACCAAGCCGACGCCATGTGATTACATTGCAAGTCGAAAATGATGCGTTTCCGACGGAGAGGCAATAGCTCACGATTTTGTAGTACATGCGGCCGCGTCCGTTTGACGACATAGGCATTGACATCCCAGATAATACAGGTGAGGGAGATACTGTTTGCTGAGGTGGTATACGTCCTAATGGTCACTCCTGAAGTTAAGCTCCTGTTCACCTCTCTACGGCGGCAAGGTAGTACATATATTTCAATCGTTCGGTTCCCGCAGCTGAAGCTTCACAGCGATGATAAACGGTAACCCTGCAGCTGTTCTCGGCATGTATGAGACCTTGAGAAACTTGGCGCCAGTTCGTATTTCGGAGGATCAGCTAAAGACGCAGCTGAGAAAAGAATATGGTGTTGATATCGATCTGCTTGGGGACGACTTTCGCTGGGACGAAGAGATGGCTTCTCCTAGTGAGGAAGAATGGCTAATCGTCGAGGAGTTGGTGTGTAAGAAACTGATGCACCGGACTGCGGAAAAATCGATACTCTCCAATGACACCAGAAAGGAGTTGGTGGGAAAGGAAGTAAAACAGCTAAGCGCTTCATATGGGTTTCCCCACGCTGATCTGGAGTCGGTGACACATCCAGATGTTGAAAACTCCCATCCCCCATTGACACCAAAGAAGAGTTGAAGGGAAAGGAAGCGACGCATTGGAATGTTGAACCCTCGCATCCACCCGCCGACCTGGCGATAACGCGTGGAGGCGTTGAACACTTGTATGCACCTGCCGACCTGGAGTTGAAGGTAGTAACACATCAAAATGTCGAAGAGTCGCATCCACCCACTAGCATATTTTATTTACTTGTCGCACTCTGGTCTTTGTCTGGTACCTGACCTCCTGTCAGTCTTGACAGGTTAGCGCTTACCTCTGTTTTCTCACCTTCACTGCATTTCCTGTTCACTCTGTATATCATTTACATTTCCCGATGTTCTCTTCGCTTTATAAAAGACCCAAGCGTGTTCAGTTTCACAGTCAAAAGTGTGATATCATTCGAATACATACTCGGATGAATGTCATTTACGCTTGCGCCTCTCCCTCCACACCTTTTACCTCGTCTTTCACCATCTTCACGGGCGAGCCTGCTAATTTAAATTTTAACGCTTCGTACCTCTTCTTTTGCTGAGGGCTAACACTTGGCCCGACCTTCTCCAAGGCGGCACTGAAGTCAGAGAGATGGACCGTAACCTTTGGCCTCTCTCGGGCCCTCTCGTATCATCATCCATCTGATCCAGCACACCAAGTGTACGGCGCAAGGCAATGACACCTGCTTCACGAACCAAAGCGGCCAGATCAGCACCGCTGAATTTATCGCAGCGCTCGCGAACAAAGTCCTCCACCTGACTTCGGATGGCGTCTAGCGACTCGCTTCCATCACCTAGCAAGAGGTACTTTCCGCGTCATAGTCCGAACGATCTCAGCACGTTCATCACCATTAGGGAGGTCCACATAGAGCAACTTGTCAAGACGCCCCGGCCGAACCATGGCAGGATCTATCATATCAGGACGGTTGGTAGCGGCAATGACATACACGCTTTTACGGGCATCTAATCCATCAAGCTCGGTCAAGAGGGTGTTCACGACCCGAGCAGATGATTCAGACTGGCGAAATGATCAGATAATGGCGTTCAACACGACAAGAGAATCTGACTTACAAGACTGTCATCACGCCGAGGGACGAGTGCATCAAGTTCATCAAAAAAGATAACACAAGGGGATGATGCTCGGGCTCGCGAAAAGACTTGGCGTACGGCTCTCTCGCTTTCACCAACATACTAAAGGACAGCGTGAGGTTAGCGTATTGGAAGAAAAGGTTGAAGCTACCTTGTTCAAGAGTTCAGGACCTTTGACGCTGATAAAGTTGGCTCGAGATTCATTCGCAACGGCTTTAGCCAGCAATGTCTTCCCACATCCTGGCGGTCCCCAAAGTAATACTCCACATGCTGCCTCTATGCCAACAGCGCTGAACAGCTCCGGTCGTTTGATAGGCTGAACGATGGCCATGTGTAGCTCATCTCGAGTACGATGCAAGGCACCAATGTCTGACCACGAGACATCGGGCACGGTAGCAAAACCTTCTCGCTTGGAAGAAGGCTGGACCTGGGTCAGGGCGACGGTGAAATCGGCCGAAGTGATACAGAGAGGAGCTAGCTGTACGGGCGTCAGAGGGTCGGGGTGGGCGTTGAGGAAATGGGCGATGGAATGAGGGGATGAAGTGGGAAATGAAAGGGAGGACGCTATAGCCGTTATTATCGGGGCAGGCCGCAATGAAGATGATGACGCCTCTGCAGCAATCTGGGGCTCATCAACTTGCATAGACAAATCTGGTTCCGTTGGTAGTTGTAATGTACCTTCCGACAGCTGTTTGAATATTCGTTTGACTGCTATGATACCGGCAGCAGCAGTAAGCGCCGACAGATCTGCTCCCACATAACCTGGAGTAGCTTTGGCGAGTGCGGCAAAGTTGAAATCACCCTCTATGCGCAGTTTGACGGACAAGACGCGTAAAATCCTGAATGAAGGTAAGAACGGCCCTAGTAGATGATCAATTTTCCTACCTTTCTCGGGCCTCGTCATCAGGAACACCCATACTGATTTCGTGGTCAAACCGACCGGCTCTTCGTAGAGCAGCATCAAGTGAGTCCGGTCTATTAGTAGCACCCATCACAATCACTGGTTTGTTATCATTTTTCTCCCAAGACATGTCTAAACCCACGTTAGATAGGAAGAAAGACATTGTGCGGAAAATTACCATCCATGCATGTTAGAAATTGGGCCACGATTCGTCTCTCCATCTCTCGTTGAGCACTTTCACGTTTTGGAGTGATAGCATCGATCTCATCGATGAAAAGGATACAAGGTGCGACCCTCTAAAAGACTAAATCAGTTTGATTGCAAGCAGTTTCTGAGAAACACGTACTTTTGCTTCCTCAAAAGCATCCCGTAAGGTCTTTTCTGATTCCCCTGACATTCCAGACACGATTGACGGGGCAGATATGTTAATAAAAGGGACCCCCAGTTCCTATCAGGTAGCTTAGGTGGGTCCCAGCAGAAAAAAAGACAACTTGTCACTCACACCTGCCATCGCATTCGCCAGCAAAGTCTTCCCACATCCAGGGGGACCATGTAGCAGAACGCCGCGGGGTGGCTGCACGCCCGTATGCAGGTAAACTTCTGGGTGACAGAGCGGCATGGCCACCATCTCCAGCATTTTCTCAACA